TACCTTATTGGGACTGTGCAGCCCAGCAATCCCGAGCATGGCACGGAAAAAGTTTCTTTCCTAAAGAATAACATCGTGATGTTCTGTACACCGTTTGGAGACAGACGCGAGTAAAATACAATCTATAATGCACACGATGAAACTCAGTACACTATAGTTCCCGAATGGCTAAACAACTGCGTTACAAACATCGGTTTTGTCGAGATTGGGATAGATAAGTTTGTTTTCAGTTTTTACAACCATCAACCATGCATTTTCTTGCACGGGTTCTGGTTTCTCTTTTGGTCGTCCATTTGAAGAAAAGAGCTTGGTGAAGATGGGAATGTTGAGAGCGAACTCAAGGGGAAGACGGAGAAACCATATACATTGGGGTACCAAATTACTGAATGAATGCATGAGCGCCACTGTTTGCTGACACGACAGCAAATGTCGTGAAAGAACACCGTTAACTGTCTTAATTGTATTAACAGAGATATCCACGTCTGAAAGAGCACACCAAATGAACGATAACAGGTATTGGACGGAATCGACGACAAATGTTGAAAGAATGATAATTTCGAAAGCAGAGAAGTTGAAAGAGGTTGTTAATGTCATAGCCAAACTGAAGATTTCTATGGAACCGTGAGGATTGCGATAGTACAACCGTCGTACTAGAAGCTTTATTCAACATGGAACGTGTAAGGTAAACTTCTTTAATACAGTAGTATTAGCCAAACCTGAAACCAATATATATATACATATATATATATGCGTATATATTTACAAATACATATACGTACTTAAACGTTGCAGGAGTATATGGCAAACCGGTGGTACTTACAGCGCTAACATTGGATGATGATTGAACTGGTGAGGATGTCCGTGCTGCATCATTCCGGGTATGTGGTGAGGTGCATTAGGATTAACACCCATTGCGGGAAACAAATGACCCGGAATGGAACCCGGACCGGGTGCAGGAAGCACGTTGTCACGATCATGAGGCCCTGGCATAGGCATACCACGCACGGGATGGGACATTCCTGTGAGGAAATTAACAAGTAAAGAATCCAATACCTGAAGTCATAGGACTTGGGAGGTTCATCGTCGGCGTGATAACCGGTGCAGAATGAACTGGTTGCATGTGCATACCCGGTTGTGGGCCTGCGGGATTTACGGCAGAGGGCATTCTGCTCATTTGCGGGCTGATCGACGAATGAGGTGAACATAAGTGTTCCGAAGGATGGGAAATGTGTCTGAGTGACTCCGGATCCAGGATGAAACGCTAGTAAATCTGGATAAGATCAACACGCTGAGGCGGATCAAACGACCTTGATACTTTTGATAAGATGGTTGCCTTCGCGCCACACCGCAGCTGCAATTGATCGGTTTAAACAAAATTTGATTACAGTTCTAAACCGAACTTTCATGTTTCAACAGTCTTCAAGAGTTGAATCTCAGTAAACCTATGCCATCTAAGTAGGCATTTCTTTTCCCGTGGTTGCTTACGACAGGACAGGATAATTCAGGCAAGGACAGGTCAGGTTGCCCAGGAAAGGAAATGGCCACGGCCAATCGAGCTTCCAGAGTTCCTTCGGTAGTAAGCCAAGTGTTGGCTCCTAACTCTGAGATTGTTCTATATTGTGGTTGTTCACGTTTTCTGCTCGTTCCAGTCGTCTCCGACTCTGCAATGGAAGCGGAAGAAAAAATATATTCTGTCTTTGTTCAGGCAAGAGAACTCACATTTCAAAGCGTTCCCTTGTTGGTGTATGGTAAAACAAAAAACGAAAATTGATTTGAGGCCGAATGCTACGCGTCTAGTTCTGGAAATAAGTCCAACCAATGCCTATCGAGCACCTTGAAGTATTGAAGTTTCACAGGTTCGAGGCTAAGCACAATGATCCCGGATCATGAAAATTGTCGGTTTGGATTCATGGGTAACGCCCGCTGACGAGAATTTTTGAGCACAGCCTTCTAGTGAGGGTGATTGAGATGGGAATTCAGTTAATTGATAGGAACAACCTGAAAGAGAAGACAGGAGAGAAAGGGTACGGTATCTCCTTGCAGTGCACAAATATGCGATCTGGATAGTAAACATATTCTTAAATACATGTCAGTAAAATTACACATTCTACACGCTTAGGGATGCGAAAGAATTTTATGACACATAATTTGTTTGTTTGTCTTGATCTCGATCTTTGAAAGAAAGTATGCAGGCAAATCATTTGGACGGATTGAACTGGGAAGATTC